AGGTGCTAGTACCAAGTTATGCATTCGACAGCTTCCCGGAGCATTTTGATCAGCAATTCCAATCACTAGCAGGTTACACTCACCTACAATGCTTTTCCCTCTAGGCTTCAGTGAACATTGCAAGAATGTATTTAATGAGGTGCAGCACTAATCAGTGGTTCCCTGGGTCTGATCTTTCTCCCCAGAGAATCCCAGCTAGTCACCTACAAAACAAGACCTTTTCTCAAATAACCCTGCTTGTCCAGAGTATACTCTGAAGATCCCTTAGATTTTTTTGGCAGTTTATCTCAATCAAGACATGTTTATTGATAAATTAAAATCACTTTAGGTAGGGCTTTACAATAACATAGTAGACAGGCAAAAGGACATACCAGAATGTAATTCTCAGTGGAGTCACTGCTGGCTGCTGAAGAGCAGGTGACACACCACAGGAAGAATAAGAAGTAACAGACACATGCTTTACAAATATGCCTTTGGTGTTTGTGTTCTTTGTTGTGCACAATGATGTGTAATTTACAGATGACAAAGTCCTTCCAAGATTTCAGGAACTTTCCTAGGTAGTTTTTCCTAGGGTGCATCTCACTTCTTTGATTGTATGACAGTATTTTAGAAGGTAGCATGTGACCAGGATAGCATAGCACTTCTCGCTCATCAGGGTGATACCATGGGAGATTCCAGGCTTAGGGTAGCATTTGGTACATTGAACACTGGAGAGGTGCTGAGGAGCTCAACAGAGAGAATGCATTCTCAACCACAGCACCACTAGGTGGCAGTCAGGCCCATCTCTACAGCACAGTAGGAAACACTCCAGATTTCACATGGTGAAGACTTTAAGTACTGAAAACAGGAAGGAAAGAAGCAAAGCGATGCCTTCTTCTGGAATCTAAAAAGGGTGCATGCACAAGTGTGTGTGTGTGTGTGTGTGTGTGTGTGTGTGTGTATTTGCAGGACAAGGCTCTAGGACCATTGTTGTTCTCTGTGCCATGTTTCACACTTGTACATGGGACAAAAATGATAAAAAGGTTTCGACATGTGGCACATATTGTATTATAGTTTCTCCACTCTCATCAGCACCCCCTGCAATCTACAAGTCCCAGTGGGTATTATGTGATGTACAAGGTGGCCATCTTTGTTCAGCATAGTGGTGGTTGCTCCCTAGAAGGAAAGATACGAGTGTTTGGTGCACTGATGTCAGTGGCTGCGCTTGCATTGTGTTTCCCTTAGAGGTTACCGAAGTCAAACAAAAGAGAAAATTGCAGTATTGTTTGGTAAAAGGAACTTTAGAAGCATGTCATAGTTGAAGGAACTCAAGAAAACCTTAATGCTCCCCTGCTTTGGAGGTGATCAATATAGCTAGAGGTGAGTTGCAAACTTTGACCATTGGATGAGGAGTTAGAATTCCGATTAGAAAACTGTGTGTCAGAAAAAGCACATTATTGTAAATGGAGAGTGAGAGCCTACCTTGTTGACAGAACTATGTCTAGATGGTATCCTGAACCTTTCAGATGGTACAAAAGACTCTATATATAGTCTGTCTGTGACTCTTTCCCAACTCTACGGGTGCCTCGGTTATTAGGAATACAATCAACATTGTTGTCATCAGTGTGAGGGGAGTTCTGTCTGAGGGGAGCCCTTCCCTGTGGGAGGCAGCTGTGTTTCCTCTGGCACTGAGGGTAACTCAGGAGCTTTCTGCCCACACCTTGCCACTGTGAATCGGCTCATGCCAAGAGCTTCCTCGTAGCCTGGAAGTGTGTCCAGAGAGGAGGGCAGCTGGCCCAGGGAGCTGTGTGCGTGGGCCACTGCAAGTATTCTCCGAGCTGCGGGGCCAAACACAGACTGAAGGGCTGTGAGGGAAGAAGACAGTTGGTTAGAGATGGTGACATACAAAGGTAATGAGATTTACATCACACCTCACTTTTCTTTTTCTTTAACCTATTTCCACACTCCTTGCCACAACGGTTGACAAAGTTTACAAAAATCCTTCAAAGATTACTTATGACTAACTATACATCTTTCAGGAGAATGTGCTTTCCCTGATGTCTGAGTAATCCGAGCTGCGTTTCCACAGTTCATCCCTCCTTCCAGGTTTTTCCTATTTTGCTAGGCTAGGAATCAAGCCCACACCCACACACATCCACACACATCCACACACACCACACACACCACACATACCACACGCATCCACACACATCCACACACGAGCTAGGCAAGCACTGTTCTCCTGAGTTCCAGCCCAGCTCCACCCTTACATTAAGATCCCTTCCAATATTACAGTCCCACCTTTTTGTTTTGTTTTGTTTTTGACAGAATTTCTTTGTGTAGCTCTCACTGTCCTGGAACTACTTCTGTAGACCAGGCTGGCTTAGAACTCACAGAGATGCCCCTGCTTCTGCCTCCTGAGCGCTGGGATTAGAGGTGTGAGCCACCACCACAGGACACAAACCCCTTTCAAATACTTATTTCTGCCATATTTGTCATTCATCAGTCACAGATTATGCTGCTCTTATTTCTGATAAATGCCACAGGGTCTTATCCTCTGTCATTCTAACTTGATTTTGCTCCTAGATTTTAGGAAAGAATACTTTCATAAAGAACAGAGGAAGATGGACTAAAATTAGAGGTAGGTGTAGGGAGACATCCTATCCCCGCCCAATAGTCCTGGGACAGGTAGCAGGTGGACTCGGGACTCGCCCATAAGGGCGTGGTGAAGGAAAGCCGGGGTGATGTAAGGGAGCTTCTTAAGGGGCTGCACGTGGGGACCCTGGCCCTTTGGTTCTGGCCGCGCTGGCTGGGGTCTATAACCTAGCTCTGGCCCGTGTTTTGCCTTGGTGTCTTCTGGAATAAAGAGACCTTAATCCTACAGGTAGGTGATTCTCTGAGTTCAAAACCAACTTTCCCTACAGAGACCATTCCAGGACAGCCAGGACTACATAGAATGACCCTGATTCAAAATATAAACCAACAAACAAGTAAATAAAACAGAACAGAAGAAGGTAAAGGAAAAATCCCTATCACACTCATCAAAGAGATGTTGGGGCTAAAATTTAGCATAGCAAGGCATGAGGAATACCAAACTGAAAGTGTAAAACACCAATTTTTTTAAAAAAGATATAAAAATATAGTGTAAACCAAATCAGGTAGTGCAGGTCTGTAATTCCAACCAATTGAGAGGCTAAGGCAGAAGCATTATGTTCTTAAGGCCTGCCTGACCTACAGTGTAAATTCAAGGATAACCAGGCCAATTTAGCACAAGCATTTCTTAAAATAAAAAAAAAATTAAGAGTCTAGGAGATCTCATCAGTAACATACATGTCCAGCCCTGTGTTCCAGCCCTAGCATCACAAAAAATGTAAGAAAGAGAATGTAGCTAGGTGGTAGGGAGTACACACTTTAATTCCATCACTCTTGAGGGGAAGGAGGGAAGTAAGAGGATCAGGAGCCAGTCTAAGTTACAAGAGACTGGACAGAAAAAAAGAAAGAAAGAGAGAGGGGGGCAAGAGAGGGAGAGATGGAATAATGAAGAAAAGCATGAATGAAGACATGAACGAAGGAAGGAAGGAAGGAAGGAAGGAAGGAAGGAAGGAAGGAAGGAAGGAAACCATGTGAACCTTGGCTCTAATATTTTACTTTGTTCATCAATTTATTATCAGCCAAAAACTTGAGAATACAGTTATCAGTGATATCCCAGGACACCACACAATGGGTTTCTGGAAATTGAAATTACTCTGAATCCCCAAACACTCAATGCTAGTTGGCAGTTCACCATACACCTCCATACCTTTCCATACTTCCTTAAGACTGAGCCCCATTTCTTGGCATTCTAAGTTGAGTGCACTCACATGTGATGGTACTCTGCAGAGTGCTGTCATGGTCAAAAGCAATGACGGTCACTTCATAGGGTGGTGGGGCCCCATCTTCCCCATTTTCTGGACGGCTCAGACAGCAGCGGAAGCACACTGAAGTCAGGCCGCACAGGAGAAGCAATGCACCGACTACCACCAGCAACCTGCAAGAGCCACCTATCAAGTCCAAGCTGTGGTCAGCTGCTTTTCCAGCTCTGACATAACGACCCGTTAATGTCTGATCTTGATTGTTGATGATCTTTTATAGAACACCAATGAGGCTCTAATCACTAGGGTTTCCTTTTGCATCTATCAGCCATGGATTTTTCAGCAAGACTAGGTCAATCATGAGAACAAACAATATTGATGGTAGTTTGAAGGGGCTGCTTCTCACTTCACTGTGCAGAAGTTATGTCTTAGGCACATGCTAAGACATAACTATAAGAGATTATAGGCACTATAATCTCTTGACATTGGCTGAAGAGATTATATTGAAGGAGAAAATCATGATGTATTGTCACATAGGTTAGGGATGAACTAAGGAAACTTTACTGTGAAATACAGTTCTGTTTTTATTCATATTAATAATTAGCATACCAAAAACTTAAATAAAATAATGCACCTGCAAAAGGAAGTCTCTTTGAGGTTATTATATAACACAGACTTACCATATATACCAGAGATGTACCCAGTCGGTCGACAGGCAACTGTGGAGAAAGAATGGAGTTTATTATATTAAAAAATCAATAGTGAGAGCTGCAACAATCATTTGTTACATTTAATGTTATGTTATAATTAAAAATATCAAGACCTAATTCTTTTTAAGAAAGCCCTCACTTTGTAGCCTTGGCTGGCCTGGAACTCAGTTTGTAGATCAGACTGTCTTTGAACCCACAGAGATCCACCTACCTCTGCCTTCCCAGTGCTGGGATTAAAGGCTTAGGCCACCATGCTCACCTAAGACATACTTTTTATAAAATCCAATGTAACTAGATGAATAGAGTTTTATATATAAAAAAGGTGGCATTGCTGTGCAAATCATTTTGTTAGTCACTAAAAATTGCATTAGAAAGAGTGGCTGTGGAAAGAATTAGGGGCATGGGAGGACCTAAGAAAGGAGAGGAGGAGAAGAGAAACAGTCGATGAATTTTGTTTGAAAAATGCTCTGATGAAAACTTATCCTTTCCAAACTGATATAAAATCAAAGGAAAAGAAAATTTCCTCATGACTATTGTGAGCTGCTATGAAGGAAATTGCCAAGGAAGAATTTGGCATACAAATTGTTAAGGAGTGGCTTTGAAAACAGACATGAACCTTCAATTCATATGCATGTGAGGCCAATAAAATGTCCACATCAGGAAAATGTCAGTTAAAGACACAAAAGGAGTTGCGTTTGTAATTGATATTTCACAAGTTCTTGCAACACCCTCCCCTAAAAAGGGCCTACACTTTCACGTCTCAGATCAGAGCTGGTGGGTGCATGCACTGAGACAAAACGGGAAGGGAGAAAAGGGAGAGGCCGGCTTCATGCAAGGAGACCTTCAGCAGTTGTAAACTTTCTCTGCAGGGATGACAGGAGGGACATCGTGGGAGAGACTAAAACCGAGAGTCAGAAGTGGAGAAAGGAATGTGTGTGTCTTTAAAGATGTACCCTGTTTTGTCATTAAAATGACAATGAAAAGACCACCACTAAATGTATATTGAGATCTATTCTTGCATTCCCTGTTTGGTCACACTCCCATAGAAACTGCAGTCTGCATTTTCCCTGGAACAGGAATCATCCTGCTTCTCCCATTCATCATTTGTTCAAAGCCTTTCACTTCCACAGTAGATTCCATACAGCGGCAGTTGTCCACATCCTCAATGTCACACAGCCAGTGACAAATATACTCATGCCAAGTAATTACAGTGATCCTTAGTTGCTTAATTCCCCTCATATCTGATACAGTTGGCTTCAGGGAAATGAGTCCACCGTGGAAGACATGTTTTTCTTTAGCGTAAACAGGATTGTTATTGTCTGTCCTCAATTGACACTAAGGATTTCAAGTGAACATGCTACTATGGGAATCACCCAAACAGATAAGCCAGTGACTGGCTGTTGAACCCAGTCTGCCCTGCTGAGTCATTGGAAAACATGGCGAAGGAAGCCATTTGCAGGTCTCCTTGACTACATGTATTTAAACTAATTGTGCTATGCTGATGGGAAGACTGGCTCAGGATGACACACACACACACACACACACACACACACACACACACACACACACACAAAAGTGCTATTGGCGGGGTTAGTCTGAGCACTTCAGATGACATACATGTCTGTGCAGGTAGGTGGTGCCCACTTAAGTAAAAAAGGAAGTCAGAGCTATGCACTGATGTTTTGACCTCTGTTTGGGTGTTGGTGCTTTGTCTGACTCGCCTTCCTCCAGGCTTGAACTCTCAGACACTTACTGTTCAGCATTGACACAGTTCTCCTGGCATCCGGCTCCAGGAAGCTGTGGGAAGGAAATAATCTCACTCAGGGAAATAGTCACATCTGCAGCATTCGGCAGCCTGACAATCATCCCTCAGGGCTGTGCTCAGTCATACTGACTTGTAAAGATGAGGGCTAGGGCTGGAGGGTTGGTCTGTACTGGGCCGTGATGGTGATCATTCCTTTGCCCATGGCTGCTTCTCACAAGGCATAAGCTCTTGGAAGGGCAGGGATGTTGGGGTTTGGATAGTGGCTGAACATCACTACCTTGGGGAATGATGGACAGCCTTCTGTATCAGTTTGTCACCCTGGAAATCTCCTGACCCATCCCCTGGGACATTATTATTGTCTTTCTTGTCCCTCCCCAGTTGAAAGTTGAATCCAGCCTTCAATGTATCAGTAACTCATCACACAAGAAGAGTAATGGAGGGACAAGATGTTAGCAAAGAAAGAAGGAAGAAAAGAGAAGGGAAAGAGGAAGATGAGAGAACATACAAGAAAACATGTACTTTCATATATCAGCTAACTTGTGTGGGCAGCCAAGCACACAGTCTGCTCCTCGCCTAGGAATGTGATCCCGTCTAGTTTCTGTACTGTTTCTTTCTCTGCTAGACCTCCTAGCTATGTGAACTTGGCCCTAGTATTTGTCCAGAATCTTTCAGTCTATCCATTCTTTTCTCAGCTAATGGGCGACTCACAGGCTTCTCTTTCACCTTGGGGTAAAATAAAAGCCTTAAAATATTAAAATATTATTAAAGAGTCCTCTGGTGCCGGTAGGATGGCTCAGTAGGTAAAGTGCTTACTGTGCAAGCATGAGAAACTGAGTTTGAATCCCAACACCCTTGTTAAAGCCAGGTGTAGCAGCATGGGCCATCCCTGATTGTCCTAACTTCTGTTCCTGACTGTCCTAACTTCTGTCCCTCTTTCCCTCAGCACTCACCCCCCCACACACACACACAGTGTGCACAATCTTTGAGACTCCTATACCAAGGGTGCAGTGTACGTTACTCCTTCCTGACCCCATCTGTTCCTTACTCCATCCATTTCCTCCCAGAGTCAGTAAGCTAAAGAAATAAGCAAAGACAGCTTCTTCTCATTTTTTTCACAACTGAACTCACCTGGATGAAATAAACCAGGACAGAGGCCATCACCACTCGACTCCGGGCTGCCATTAGGCTGAACACCTGGTCCAGAAGGATCACGCCAGGTGCATCTGCTGTATCCTAGCCATGCTCAGTGCCACGTGGAACTTCGTGGTCCTGAATTCCTAACGAGAAAATTTTCCTCAGCAATGAATCAACGCCCCGCCCCCTTTATTCCCCCTTCCTTTAAACTTCAGAACTTCTCTTTCTTCTTCCCTATTAGGTTTTTATGCTTTCTCTATTTCTCTTCACATGGTCTCCACATTTGTTTCTTCTTGCCTTCCTTTCGATTATCAAATCTTTCTCTATATCTAAACTGCCTCGCCCTATCCCTAATGGAAAGGCATTAAAGGACACATCTGTCCTCTGAATTAGACTTTTTTTCCAGTCTATAACAAGAGACTTGGATTTGAAATAGGTCAAAGGCAGCTTGCGAGTGACCAGATGCCTTCTTATGTTCATCAGGTAACTGGCTACACTCTTGGTTCCTGGATGACCGCTGTAGTCTGAAAGTCACTCTGCCAATATCCCTCCACCCCTCTCCATGTGATTGGCATCCCCTTTCTTGCTCCTTGAAACCCTCCCCTCACTGTGTTGATAATCAACCCTGCTTGTTCTGGGTCATTTATCACAGCCAATCGGCAGGACTGAGGGATTCCAAATGAGCCAGAAAGCTCTCCCATCTTTAGAGTAGGAGATGGGTTTGAAAACCAGACTCACTCGGTGCAATCAATCTTCTTGGCCCCTATTCTACTTCAGTTTCAATCCCATTGAAAGAAGTTAGTCACACAGGCAAAGTTTAAAAAAAAAATAGGTTTCCAGGATAACCCCCTCTGTTTCTCCGTCTATCTTGGTACCTGTCCCGGCACTATTGTGATGTTGCCACTTAAGAACCACGCATAGTGTGTATAATTGTGGCTCCATCTACTCAGAAAGCTAAGGCAGGAGATCATTTGAGTCTAGTTCAGGAACATGAGGCTACCCTAGGAAACAACAAGACTGCTACCTCAAAAAACATATCAGCCACAATAAAATAAAACTTAAAGTCACGCCTAAAAACAGGCACACAACAATGGAAGGTTATAAATGGTCATAAAGAAAAATATGGAAATAGCGAATACCACATGAATGCCTGACATTTAAGCAGAATCCTGTACCCAGCTCAAAGTCATAAGAACATTTAGTGTTTACAGTGACATGTCCATTTCTCAGGACTGAACAAAATCACATTTCAGCTGTTTTCTAATGAATGAGGGCAGGCTGCAGGTGAGCTCCATCACACTCAAGACCTCACAAATCATATTATCACACTGTGACAATGTGATGTTGGAATGTAGAATATAAACAATTTCCTTTTCTCAGCAAAGGAAAGCAAACAATGAGGGAACTCCCTGGTACAATGTTGGTCTTTCCAAGTCTACCCATTTATAAGCTCTTGAGTGAAAAGTGTTTTCCAGATTTCAATAGAAAATTTCATGAGAAGGTATTTTGTAGGACTACATTTTTACAGCCTTTCATTAAGCCTGGGCCTTACTGCTCCCAGTCATACAGTAGGGGTATAAAAGATGCCCACTGGACTTACATTGGCCTTTGTTTAATAGAGAAAAAAGAATCAGGGACAAGGGAGCATCTTGCATAGAATATTTCTATTTAAACACCATGTAGTGGAAAACCCCACAAACCCCTCCCTTTTCCTTTTCTTGTAGGAAAAATCGTAAACAACCCTGGCTAAGAGTCCAGCTCAAGGGATTGGTGAGGTTACTTGTTTAAAGACTTGTTAGCAGTGGGATCTTAGGAAAGGCCTTCCATCTCTCTGACAGCTCAGTTTGATGTGATCCGAAAAGCAGTCTAGCTCTCAGCACTCACACAGTGACTCATGAATTGTAACTACGATTCCAGAGGGATCTGGCACCTTCTGTCCTCCTTAGGAACCAGGCAGGTGTGCAGTGAGTATACATACACAAAGGCAAACTACTTGTACAGACAAAGTAAAAAAAAAAAAATGAATCTTTGTGATGTCTATTACTGTTCTGTTAGCCAGCATTTGGTGTTGGTTAAGACGCTTTGAATTTAGCTCTGTCTTCTATGTGATAGTCCTTCTACTATGCTGGGCCGTTAATGTCCACTATGCCTATCTCGTCTTTCTACCAGTCTCTCTAGATGGCACTATACCTTCCTAGGATTCTTTTTTTCTTGAACAGTTCACACGGCTAGCCCCACCATTACTTCTACCCAGACCAGCCTTCACCTGCATGAACAGGTTTTCCAATTACTTTGGCTTTCTCCCCATGGCAATTTCTGGCCACATGATTGCAATCATCTTTCTTGCCCCCAAGCTTCTTAACAGGCCTGAACAAAACAGGCTTTCTGTTAATGGCTGCCTTGCTTTTAATTTTTTCAGAATTACTGGTACTATTTCTTTCTTATCCCCCCCACCCCACCCAACAAGGAGATAGAGCTTCATTTATTTATTCTAATGTGTCATTGTCCTGTGACACATTAGAATAACAGTCTTTAAGGAAGAAATGATGGTAGAGGAAAGATCAGTCAGAGAAGAAAACTGAAGGCATACAGGGCATAAGGAGGGGGGAGGCATGGAGCTAGGGAGATGGGAGTACTCTCATTACCAGCCTACATAACCCCATTCTATGAATCATTAGCTTGTGCTCACATTGTGAAGGACTGAGACTGGGGCCAGTGGGAGTCACACATGCCCAGACCTGTGCTTGGGGGGAATTGTTATACAACCACTCTCACAAGTGTAGCAAAAGAATTGCTACCTGTGGTCCCTTTGATTATTCTTTGACCTTGGCTGTCAGGTGCACCCCTTCCCTGCTCTCCTTCCTTTCTATGCCTCCATAAAATAGGGAGCAGGACTATTGGTACCCTGAGCCACCATCATCAAGCTGCACATGACTGAGCAGTGGGTTGGGTCACAGCCATGATTTCAAGAATTGAGAAGGTGGCAGAAGTCAGTTTTATTCTCAAACTCGTGGGTGTTTCACTAGGAAGTGTCTCTGTTTGAGGAGCCAAGATCATCACAGTGTAGATACTGAATTCCAACCGCAGAGGCACTGAGAATTAGTAACAGGATTAAACAGGATGTTTTTCCACTCTTGAGACAGAGTTTCATGTCTGACCTCAAACTTTTTATGGAGCTAAGGATGACCTTGACTTCTGATCTTGCTTTTACCTTCCCAGTGCTGGGATTGCAAGCATGTGCCACTTTGTGCTGTGTTGGTGATCAAATGCCTGGCTTTGTGCTAAACGTAGGGAAGTTAAACAAGACAGGAGGATTTAGTTTATCAAAGGATGTATGGTTTAAATGCCATGTAGCTCATTACTATAAATTGTGTGAGTAACAGTATAAGGCAATGCACACACACACACACACACACACACACACACACACACACAAATCAATAGCATTCACAGTAGGGCCAGAAATGTGTATAAAGCTTAGCTGGGTCCATTGCTTGGGTTTCTACAAGGCTGAGATGAAAGTGTCTGCTTAGCAGCATTCTTGTCTGAAGGCTGTCATGGCAGAGGACCCACTTGCAAGCTCTCAGGAAGAATGCATCTCTTAGTGGCTATAGGATTAGTATGATAATGCTTTAAAAAAACCTTTTAATTTAAATTACAAATTCTCCTACTCATTCCACTTAGTATTACTTGTGCGTACTTGTTTGGTTGATTTGAAGACTGACCACTTGGTGTTGGATAATCAATGACAGGTCTCCTTGGAGAAGATTATTTTTTCCTCTCTCAGCCTTAGCACCATTCATGGTACCTTAAAAATACAATTCCCTATGGAGGGATACTATTACAGCCCAGATACAGCAAGGAGGGCCTAGGTCCTCCCACAAACGATATGACAGACTTTGAAGGTCCCTGGTGGAGGGCCTCACTATCCCTGGGGAGGAGTTGAGGGATGGGTTAGGGGGCTTGATGGAGAACATGGGAGGATGGGAAAGCGAGTGAATGGGGGGTGGATATGTAAATATGAGTAGTAATTAAAGAATTTAAGTTTAAAAAAATCAAAGAAAAAGCACAATGCCTAAACTAGACCTGAACAAGGACAACCCAAATAGACGTGGAGGTGGGAAGTCTCACAGGACCCCACTCACAGACAAGGAACTACAGGCAACTAAGGAATGGTTCTTTAAATTATAATGATGAGCACAGAGACAGACACAGGAGAGGCTTCAGCATACTCCTCGTGAGCCTGAAGTAATTCCTTGTGTATGATCACCTGAGTTCTTTGACCTTTGCTGCATTTTGAGCTATAGCTCTGAGAACACATGCTCAAAGAGAAGGCATGACACCTGGAGGAGCATCCTGCATTCCTTAAAGTCTTTATAGTTTCTCGGAAACTTATCCCTGTGGAGGTTTAAGAGCAAGAGAAAAGGCCCAGTGTGGTGATGTGGTGGTGTCTTTAATTCTAGCACTTGGGAAGCAGAGACAAGAGGATCCCTGTGAATTGAACCCAGCCTGTTCTACTGTTTTACCTAGTGAGTTTAAAACCAGGGTTACACAGTGAGACCCTGAACACACACACACACACACACACACACACACACACACACACACACACACACACACACACACACGAGAGAGAGAGAGAGAGAGAGAGAGAGAGAGAGAGAGAGAGATTAACTCACATCAACCGATAAAAAGATAAGTAAGTATTCTATATGAAGAAAGGCGATTCTAAGCTGTGCTGTGATGTGTGTAATGTGGTTGGACCTTGAAGACACAATTCTCAGTAAACTGAGTCACCCATAAAAGAAAAAAACTGGTGAATCCTTCTACTAGCATGAAGGAAGAGAGATTGAATGCCCACTAGAGGTTAAAGTGTTGAAGGGCTGGTTGCCAGCCTGTGCCCACTGTTAGAAGATTGCAGGAACAAACAGAGGTTCAAGAAACAGGTCCTTGAATGTGATGGCCTCCACGAGTTGAGCATCTTTTCATGATAACGTTCTGTCTCACCACAGGTCCAAAAGCAGTGGAGATAACTGACCATTGATTGATGAAATCTTGAAACCATGAGGCAATCTAAACCTTTCCTCCTTTTGCATTGATTACCTCAGATAGCTTGTTATGGGATTAGAAATCTAACACAAAGTACAGCCTCGAAATTCAAGGGTCAGAAAATACAGGGTTGACTTCAGGGAGGAACAGGGTCAGTAGGATGTTTTAAAGAAGCAAAATTGATAGAATATGTAGATATAAAGACAGAAGTTTCTTAGATGAGATTGTACCATGTGACTTTAGGGGCTGCCTAGTCTGACTCTGCAGTACTGCCCAGCAGACTGAGGATCCAGAAGGTCCAAGGGAGGATCTAATTCCTGTCCAAAGCCTAGTATGAAGACCAGATGGAGCAGGTGCTGAAGTTGAAGCCCAAAAGCCATCTTCTAGAAAATGCCTCATTACATGGAGAAGGATAGTTGCTTCTACTCTTTTGGCCTTCGGATTTTGAATGAATATAAATAGACCATCTGTGCTGGTTGATTTTATTTATCTGTTGTGTGACTTTTCGTGGCAAGATGTGACCAAAATCTGTTCATCACAGATAGGGAAACAAGGATAGACCAAGTAATCAATCCCATCCTTCCCCCATCCACAAAGAAATGTTTCAAATCAGAGGAAATAGGTGTACAATATAACCTCCATTCCCAAATACTCTGTCTGGGTACCAACTGATCCAGACAAGGCAGGAATAGAATGAACCACCACAGGAGCTGTGAGATATCTTCAGCTGGAAAAGATAGGAATATTATTCTGGGTGGTGGTGACAGCCGTATGACAATGTGAATGTACTTAACACCACATCAAGAACCGTTCATCTAAAGTAGTTAGAATAACAGTCACTGTATATAGCTTTTGATATTGATGGAGTCTGAGATAACTGAGTCACTGTGGGAACAATGAAGTGTCCTTGTCATCGTACTGCCATTTCAGTGATTATTAATCCATCATTATAAGAAATTTCCTGAGATTCTACTGAATCTTAGTGAATGTGAAAGTGAAAAGGCCACTTCAGAAATTAAGGAATGCATTCAATTCCTGGCATTCACTCCCCAGCTAGGAAACGGGTAGAGAGTAGGTAAGGGAGGCATTGTTTTTTGGTTTTTGTTTTTTTTTTTTTTTGTTTTTTTTTAAATGCATAGCTTTGATAAGGTGGTGTTGGCTCTATGGGCAGTTTTGTGAACCCTGTAATAGAAGAAAACTTTAAATGGCAGAAAAGTCGTTCTCAGCTTGTTCTGGATATCCACATAAAGCTTGGCATGGAGGAAGAATATGGAATCCTATATACAGTATCAGTATTGGTGGCGTTTCCTATGTAACTTCCTAGATACCTTACCCATTCTTCTTTTTTCTCTCCCTTTCCCCACTCGGCTTTTTCTCTAAGTGGTTTAAAACAAAAGTCATCTACTGTAGAGTCTTATAAACACAAACTCCAGAAAACATGTTCAGTAGATATGGGGTTCCTTTTGAAAAGGCATATACAAGGGCTGGATTCAAGTAAGCATCCCCAGAACTCATCTAAAGCCCATCACAGACACACCTGTCTATAATCTCAGTACTCTTACTGTAAGATGGAGGGCAGAGATAGAAGAGGATCCTGAAATCTTGCAGATCAACTAGCCTAGAGCAGGTACCAGCAAACAAAAGACCTTTGCCTAACCAGTGAGAGACCAGGGCCCATCAACACCTGCGTTGTTCTCTGACCTCCACTTGCACCTGTGTTGTGCATACATACAAGCAAACACACCATCCGTGCACACACACACACACACACACACACACACACACACACACACACACACACACACAACAGATAAAAAT